TTGGCTTTGTCTATATTCGCGCACCCTTCACGCTGTTTATATATATATATATATACATATATATATATTATATGCAGAGAGAGAGAGAGAAACCATACTCAGCGATTGAAACGTCTTATGGTTTCATTTAATGTACCGGTTCTACAGTCACAAGCATTTTCACTAGGAACCAACAAACCCACACACTCGAACTCTGGAGATAGCCTATCAAACTAATGCATGTTTTTGGGTGTACGATGCTAGGAAGATACCGTTGTTCGATATTCTAACTTTCTTCTTTCCTTACTTCTCGCTGTCAGTTAGCCAGCTAAAGCGCCATGTGTTTGGATGGACGTAACTTAGCGAAATGGAATAAGTTCGAAGCTGCCGTTCTAACCCTACGTAATGGTATCCAGGTGACACCATACATAAAAACTCATGTCAACTATATGAAACAATACGGACAAGGGTCGTTCCCTGTGATATTCAAGTCGCATGTAACAGTGTATGGATCGAAATACAGCCCGCTTTTTTTCTCCCACGAGTTCTACTCAGTTCCCCAATCTCAGTGTATTTTAGGATTTGGGGCAGTCGGATACCTGCTGTTTAGAATGTTTTAATCGGCATAACGGAAATATACAAACTTATTTACCTAGCTGAGGATAGTATATGCATAGTTACTTAATGCATTGTTCAACGGGTGATTTTCCTGCATACCTAGCACATTAGAATGAGTTGCCTCTCGACTGAAATTAGAATAACCTAACTTTTCACTTCGGATAGACTTGTGACCTTGTATGCTACATCCACATGGCATTGAGTAATTAAGCGTGTTTTAATTTGGTTTAGTCTGTACGATGAGCTCCATTGAAGATCATTTGTGACACCTTTGCAGTCTTAACACACTGAAATGCTCTGTGCTTTAAAAAAATGTTGCTTAGCGCCGACTAAATTGCTTGACCTAGTGTCTAATTCCGTTGAACTGGCTATCTGTTTTGTTGGGAAGTCGGGTCCAAATCACATCCATATGGCGCACTGTGGGCAACCAGTATTTCGTGTGTTTTATCCATTCTATACGAGGGTGGTCACTCACAGTCGCTTCTGGCCGCCACTGGTCTAGCGACCGAACATCCTCAGTGGGCAAACACATGTATGATAAAATTCCTGTCTGCCAACAGTTCACCAATCCGCCCTAAGCAGCGAGCAAAATAAGACCGTATACACTGCAAATCCAGCTCGTTCTGTACACATACGTGTCACATGTTAATTCATTGTCGGGCTACGTTTTTCAGGCGTTTTTATTTCTAAAGATAACGCGTGTGACCTTCCATAAACTTATGAGCGGCATATTCCCAGTTTTTCCATAGACGTTTGCCACTGGTTAGTAATATTGGCGGATAAGCGGCCAGTTTGCATGATGTCAGTGTGTCGGTTTTTTTGGTGATTGTAAACCGTAGTAAAAAAATCAAACAAAAGTTCCTGCCGTATTACTTAATGTCGTACTTTACTTATGGTTGCCGTATCACTAGATATCTGGTAACGTTTGCCTACGTTAACGAACTAAACAAAGCAAAATTTCCAGTGTTCTGCTTTTTCTCGTGGACCTTTTATAAAGTCTGTACGTCTGTTTTTGTTCCGTGCCTAAGACGAATACGCACAGGCAGACTCCGATTCTGTTATGAATCGTACGAACTGAGTTGACGGATAACTGAAAAGAGAAAGAGAAAACTGTACACAGTGCATTCCAGTTCATGCGCCCACACTTTCGCGTGTGTAGATCGATGTCACGGGACGGTCGTCCGAAGGATGACCGTGCCAAGTACAGGCACGCGCACACCATGCACCCACGCATCCAGCGTGTGCAGAAACTAATTCACTGTGGCTATCATTGTTGTTCATACTCACGTGACATTCTAGTTCTTTCGTATCTCATGGTGACAACCCTCTTTGCGGATCGGATCATGGTCCGATGGAATGTAAATTTATGTAACTTCCACAAACACTGTAGCTTTCACTGCTTCGCAGCTGTAGAGACCGGGGGTAGCCGTTGACCGCGGGTCGAATTCCGAGCAGAATGTGATCCCCTGAGCTTTCTTGGTTGAAGATGTTCTCATAGATGGTGTAAATTTCTTGCTGCATTTCTGAACTATTTTTCCCTGCTTTCACGAGGTTAAAATGCCAGCGTCCTTGGGATATGCTGTATCCGCATGATAGTGACTGACGTGACACAACATTAGGGTCCCTAGGATAGCAACACAAGTCTTTTCGGGTTCCGGTTAGTCACCGGACTCTAAGCTCGTGTCTAGTTTGTTGTTACACCATTATCGATGAAGCGACAAGGTAAAGATGTGGAGCTAAACGCCTCAATTCCTAGCATAGGTGGTGTCGACTTGCGGTTCAACTATTTGAGTCCATGTGTGTCCAGTTTGGTGTTTAAGTAGACAGCCAAGAACTCTGTTAAGCGATTGGATGGGCCACTCATTTGTTGGAATGCCTCCGAACAGAGATTACACTTCCTAAGTATTACGCAGCTTTTCGTCGTGGGCATCACTCGACCCACTCACTATGATCCTGCGTCGACTCTGTTACTGTAGCCAGCGCGTTTGTCATGCTATAGTGAGTTACTGTGTCTCTCACTGCTGTACCTATCACAAATTTGAGTGGATCATCATCTACACCCAGGGACTGATAGAATAATAAATGATAATCGTTCCGCTATAGCACTCTTTCGGTGCATAGTTGCCATGACTCCCGGAAGAAGCACAAGAAATGAGGTGCTGCCATTTTACCCAATCCTTAGTGGAGGTAGTGGAGATTTTGAGGTTGGGCTGGAACCAAGAACCTCCCGGTCAGTAAATTCTCACCTTAAGCTTTGAGCTCTCTCATCAAGATGGATTTTCTCACCATTTGACTCTACTAATCGATCCACTCGATAGCATCGCCCAGAAAACCGCATTACACGTTAAGAAATACGATCTTAAACGGTAGACCATGACGGTGACTCCGTTTTGATCCGCACAGTATTGGGTTGGTTTCACGTCATGGTATGACTCTAAATGTAAAGGTGCGGTAAGATGGCACGATGAGTAAAAGCACAGTAACTTAGATGGGAACGACCGATTGAGGCTTGTGTTGGCCGCGTGCTCATGTGATGCGAGGCTCGTTGTTTTGAGAGTAAACATACTCTGATGTGACAAAGGTTTTCATTGAAGATGTTGCACATAACACATGGTCAGTTAGCAGTCCAATCAACCGAATGATGGTTCAGCCTATCGTAATGTGCGCTCTCTGCACTTCCTCGTAACACCAAAGTAGGGTTCCCTTGCACAGCAGTGAAAAACGGGTCCTGCTTTGTTGGTCCGTTTTTTGGAACTAGGTCCGTAGGGCGACCAAGGAAAATCCCATAGGTAGCCGCAAAGTTGCGTGGTAATACAGAGACTCTCATTCTACCATTATACTCGTGCGCGCTAAAAACATCCTTACGTTATGATCTGTTGTCCGATTATGCCATGTGCACTTTTGGTTTCATGTTTGATGTTTACCGAAACAGTTCTCGTTCACTCCGCACTCCAGGTGATATTCACGGTCAGTACACGGACTTATTGAGGCTGTTCGAACACGGCGGGTTCCCACCAGCCTCAAATTACCTCTTTCTCGGAGACTACGTAGACCGAGGAAAACAAAGCCTGGAGACAATTTGTCTGCTATTGGCCTACAAAATTCGCTACCCAGAGAATTTCTTTTTGCTTCGCGGTAACCATGAATGCGCTGCGATCAATCGAATTTATGGATTCTACGATGAATGTAAGTATTGCCATCTGCTTTTCAAATGAACTAAATGAGCAAGAAAGTTTGATCCAGATTATTTCTCATTAATTGCCTCTAGGTGCGTAAAAACTTGGCATTGTTGGTATCTTTGTGAAACTTGTAGAGTCCAGCTGTCTAGGTTCCTACCGGGAATGAGCCGATGGTAAATTTTTCCTCTTGGACTTTCATTGAAAAATCGTGTCTACGACATCGCTGTATGGTTGGGAGACCTGATCGACCCGCACCAAAGTTATCCTGCAGCTGCATGATGTCCTTTGCACCAGATGGTCGCGTTACGTGGGTACTAAATTGCGTCTGAACCTGTTTCGCCACCGTGGTTGTTGTTGTTTTGGTACACTCGTTGCGGCATATTCCCAATACGTCACCAGGTGGGCCGTTAACATTGTATACTGCTCACAGGCGCTCTGTACGACTGGAAGGAACCAGAGTTAGCAGTCGATGACTTGACGAACGAATATGAAAAATTCGACTGCTAATTTACCGACAGTGGAGAAACGTAACAATTTAATTCGAACCGTTGCAGAGTCAACCAATGGGACTGCTGTGGAGACCGTCATACAGCTAGCGATAAGAATGTAGGACAACCAATGTTTTCACCGCAACTCCACTTCAGATACATCAAATTCGATAGTTTCTGTTCAGAAAAAAACGAATGCCATCGAAAAACCATATCATTAATCTACAGGATTAGAATACAATAGTAGTATAAATGAAGTCTAGAATAAGCACGACAAATTTATGGGCTCATTTCATGGTATTTAGTTGTCCAGGAAAAGCTCCTTTTTTGCTCCCGGTTATTTCACCTCAAATCTACAGATCACGACAAAACGTGCTTATGAATACATAATGATGTTTGGACTCGCTCTTTTTTAACTTCTGTTCCAAAACCCTCACCAACCCCATTTTGGAGTTGAGAAAGTCTGCAGTTTTGTGCACTCTAATATTATTAACGGGGTCTCTGATGAATTGATAGGCGGAAACCGCTTCGTTGCTCTTGCAGATATATCACCCCTATGACGGCAGCGGGTGGCAACTTCAAGTATTCCAATGACTAGATGTAGGCTTCATAGTCACATTAATTATTTAGTATTATTTTTTCATCTTCTAAGCCGAGAGGCTTTAGTCAGTGTGCGAGTGCGTCAAATTTAAGATAACAGGCAGTGCCATCAGAAAATCTAATAGAAACGTTCAAAAAATGTCCGGATGTATGGCGGTTAATCAACGGGATGTTATTATGGATTGTGGGTTTGAATGTCAATGGGGTTTGTCTTTTGTTGGCCAGAGGTCATCACATTCGCTTCATCCAGAGTGAAGTTATGACGAAAAGCGTTGGTGATCCTTTACTTTCGTCACGAGCTGTTTGTACATATTCCGAAAGACACCTTAGAAGTAATTAGACTCATTCAGTACATATTTATTCGGCCACATCATGTGGTTTCGTTTCTCTGTTTAGACATGCATCTTTTGTCGGGACGATAAACTATCTGTTGAATCAATCCCCCGTTAACTAGATCTTGTGATTGACGACCTGTCTGTCGTCTTGACCATCCCTTGCGGACCGTCAGGTGCAGTTCACTTGTGCACACCCGCCTGAAAGATGGGCGAATGTTTGTTTTCACTCCTTTAACCTTGAACTTAAACGAAACTCCGATAGCACCTTTCAGAGGCAATAGTATAGGGGGCTCCGTTGTTTAGATAATGCATCAATTTCATCTGTTTTGGCGGTATCACCCGTAGACTAAACCTTGTACGATGCCTACCACAGAGGCTGGAAAACATATTTACCCGGCACGCTGGAAAGTTCCTGGAAGAAAGCCCTCCTCCCACTTCGTTCGATAAGAGCTTATACGGCAATACCAAAGATTCCCATACCCGACAGAAGTCCGTTGTGTATAACTTCCTTTTAGAAGTAACCGGGCTTTGGGATCCATCACACTCGGGTGCATGGAGCTGTCTAGCCCGGTGTCCGGAGGCTATCCGTCCCTAATAACCGAACACCACATTATTCGGACGGATGTCTCACGCGCAGGACACGGACCAAACGAAGGCATGCCCTGATTGGTCAGAATACCAGCCAATCCGAGTCGAGCATCTTTGACTCGACGCTTCTCGCCCTCCTCACGGAGATCCTGGCACGACCTTGTGTACACTCTGTGACTACCCTATAAATACAGTTGTAATAATTTTATTTTGTCTCCATAACGGGCTGTGTAGGGCTACCGTTCCTTTTGCTATACCATAGTGGGCGGAGCAGGAAGCCAAGAGACCGACACAGAGTTGCACTACCGTTCAGCAAGACACAACACCCGGGGAGCAAGCAGTAAGGTGTTTGACTCTACTATGCATAGAAAATGCATTTGGAGCCGCATCTGGCCCTTGACAAGTTTGATCGTGTTTCAACCGCATTGGATCATTCATCAGCGGTTACGGTCGAGTAGTCAGAGTGTGCAGCATTGTGGTCTCCATTAATATGGAAGTACTGGTCACCTAGGGGGATGACCTTACTGTTCTCACACTGCTGTCATAGCGAGCGTTACTATTTCTCACTGTCCTTCGTCTGGCTGCCCCTGTTTATCCTAACTGGCATGACTGAAACTTAATGAAATGAATTCCAGCAAGTGAAGTCCCGTAATTTCAGCCCGACCACCACGACAATTCTAGATCGGAGCGTGGACTCCTCTGAAAATATGATGAAACTTCCAGCGAATTCAGATTGATCTACCAGGATTCCCATAGCTCCCCTGGCGATTGTTCCAGATGACTATTATTCGGTTGTCTTCCTGTGTTCACTAGATAGCTGGAGTGTAATCTATCGTTACACATCCCGTCTAATCTTTAGTTCACAAGCATATCGTTCGCAGTCACCACAGCGTTCACAACACAACGGACAGTCATTCTTACGATAGCTTGTGACCTTTTCACCTGTCTGGTTCCAGTGTCTTCACTAGAGACCGATGCAATATGAAGGACTTCGAAAATCAGGTAAAGACCAATGTTGAATGCGGTTTTGAACTCAATGTTAGGGCTCTCTTACGAGGGATTAGGGTATTTGACCTTGTGTCCGTTGGATCAGTAGTCTGGAGCAACGAGGACTTGTCAAGTGTCCAGTCGAATGTTGGCTGAACTATTTTTCATAACTACTCGTCATCACATGGACGAGATCAATGATATGACAGTTTTATCTGTGAATGACGGTGATGGCAATTCATAAATGCTTCTGTTATTTCAGTGAATTGTCTGCTTCATCTGTTTTAGGAAGATGCTGAACCTGATCTGACACTTCTTGTTATTTCAAGTTTTCTAAATTCTCGTCGTTAGCTGCATAAATGCGGTTATTCCTTACTGAATACAGTTTGTTCTACACCCGTTTGAGTTTGGAGCAATCTCTACCAACTGTTAGAAGCGTATCTGTGGCTGATTCACTTAGCTGAGTCAGTGTTGTATTTTGGTACCCACTGCACTGCCCGCTTGCTGCTTATTCGAGAGAATCGCTTGTTTGTGTGTGCATGCGTGCGTCAAAATGAAATTACTGGGTTTTCAATCAATTGGAAAATGTTTGGGAATGTTTGGAAACTTACAGGGTGTTTAATTACACATGTGGTGTACCGTTTTGGTGTGACTGTTCTATGGCCTTCTATTAGCCATATTGGAGTCCTTCTAATCGGATAAAAATGGTTTTTATGGGGGACCCCTTACATCGCTCGATAGAACCGACCAATAGTCAACGTCGGACGTTCGGTATACTTACGTCTATGGTAGCTTCAGAATTCGGAAACACTGCACTGGCTGGGGGCAAAAATAGCATTGAGCAACGTACGGTGGTTAAATATTTATCGAGCTGCCAATAGTAATTGGAGGGATACGATCAGATCTGGAGAAAGTCGGCTACATGAAGCGCTCTGTCTCCTTTAAAAGTCACTAAGTGAGTGTGAATGGGTCGATCCGGTGATTTTCGGGGAACGGCTTTGATCTGCTGACCATGGGACAGCGCTTTCCCCGAACCAGCTTCAAGGTGTTTTTTGGTGTAATCAGCTGGGGAACTTCTTGAGACAATCTGACCACTAGTGTCTAGTCAAGCTGCTCTCGCACAGGACCTGAGGATTGCGAAGTCGTAGGTGGTACGTTAGTAGACTATAAAGCCATTTAATTGGAAATTTTACCGGAGGTCTATAGTAAATATGTGTACAATTTCCAAAAATGTCAGCTGAATGTCTTTTGTCCTTGCTTTGACTCATCAGATGGTTTGGTCACTTGATCCTTCGGAGTAATTACTCCGTAGCAATATATTTCATTTCTTCCGTATAGTCATTTACCCTCAGTGGTTCTGGTGACCGTGGCTCCCTCGTTAAAAGCCTCGGTTTTTAGCGAATGCACTACCCTACTTTGTCCTACTATAATTTACTGCGGATTTTCCACTTTTTAACGTGACGTAGTTCAACCTATACCACGGATTTCAGATGTGTATGAGAGGCGTTTTGTGGAGCTTCGACCGCATGACTTTTTAGTTAGCTCGTTTAAAGGAAATCAGTTGGATAGCATGGAAAGGTTCCTAAACCGTCATTATCCCTACCCCCTTTAGAGGTGATGTTTAGAAAATCGACTTTGGACAACAGGTAAAATCAGCTTTACTGAGCAACTTTGCCCAGCTTTTACGGGTTTCTCGAAAGAGATTCGAACCATTAACTTTCTGGTCAGTAATTGAACGCCGTATCCATAAAATCTCACGAGATCTAGCTCCGCTAACCTTCACTCACGCAGCTCACATTAGGGTCTGGTACCTCGTCGAATGGAAGCAAACCAATAAAAGCGGTTTGATTCGGTTTTACTTCGCTGCTTTCAGATTCCTTGACTAGATGAGTTAGCTCTCTGTCTTCAATCGGTTTCCTCGAAGTCCAGCTAGAGACTGCCACCCAAAGTCTTGTGCTTTTGAAATAACCCGTCATACCACCTTCCAAAACCACGAGGATTCACATCGT